TAAGTGCAAGAGTGTGGAAGTAATAAATAACCCAACAAAACCAGGGTCAAACCAATGGAGGTTAACTATATAAATTAAAGGTATGCATTAAAAAAAAAAGTCAAACCAATGGAGGTTAACTGTATAAATTAAAGGTATGCATTAAAAAAAAAAAACATTTATGTGATAGGCCTGCATTTAAGATGAACATTTACCACAAATTAAAGGTATCTTATATTATTAGATATGTTATTATAAAACATGTTTTAGTTAAGGAGTTATTGATACTTCAAGTGCAAAATGATGATATAAAACCTTGATAAAAATACACTTTCAAATATTAATCAACCTCCAAAATGTGGATAGACATAACAGAGGTAGACTTAAGTTGTGGTTGCTCCATGTGCAAATGCTCCCACGATCATACCTCTATATACAAACAAAAAAATCATACAACAATTAGTAACCAACTTGAATATTAAAAAAAATATATAATACAAAAATAACAAACTTATTGCATTTATTTTACCTTTAAAAGCAATAAATATCTTTCAACTTGTTTTGATTTCTACAAGTTATCATGACATAAATGTCTATACAAACATGCAAGGATGTCTGACCCTAGCTATATAGTGGAATGGACTGGAAATCCCCCAGTAATGATAGGTGGAACAAGGGCATATACGTCCCATTAAGATCTGTGAGAAGTAAACCGCTAAACATATGAAGTATATACGCTCTAGCATACCTGCACAATAGAATATTGAATTCAAATTGAAATATAGACAAATAAATATGATAATTGAACTATTAGTATGCATTAACATACCATCATATGATCTAGTTATCATAATTATCAGGTAACTCGAAAACGTTTTGCTAAATCCATCTCATGGATAAAACGTTTTCCTTAAAACATTTCATGAGGGGGCACACGTCCAAATGCATGTTCGTATAAAGTTATCTTATTTTGGATACTCACGACAGTACATGCTCATTCATCTATAGGCAAGCCAAGCATAACAACAACATTTTACAAAATAGGAGTCATCTCCCTTACATAAGGGTAGAATATATGAGTCTCCTATCTCCATCTCTCAATAAGCGTTGTGAGCAAGTCATGATCTATCTTTATGAGCTGTAAACATGTGATGTAATAAAAACCCTCCTACATGATGTATGGAATCACCAGATTTAGAAGCAGTATGAACTTATAAAATTTGCAATAAATCTTATCTAAATCCTACATAATAAAAGAAAAAATTTTGATATATGAACATGAATTATATGGTAATTAGCACAACAAATAATCATCTTTGTCAAATGAAAAACAAACATACATTTCCATTCCACATGGCTTGTGATCTGTATGACTTTTGCAACTATAAAATAGATGAATTAATCAGTTTAGAATCTGTGTACTGAGGAATTTTACAAGACAATCAGAATCTGTGTACTGAGGAATTTTACAAGAAAACGAAGATGACGTGCCTCGAATACAAGGCATCCTAACCAAATATATCTATAAAATACAAAAATAACTTAAAATAAATATTATAGCTAAACAATTAAAATTAAATTACATACATTGTTTGTATTCACTGATTTTTATGTTATATCCTATTTAGTCGTTGTGAATACCCCTTTCTCACGTCCCTCTCCTTATGCAATTAAGTTGACTTTTGTCGACCTCAACGGATTTTCCATGTTAAAGGGTCTGGATATGCTTTAGGAATAGTATAATTATTCCACTCTAATTCATTAGGCAAGGGATTTAAATGGAGGCTTATATGTGTTTTTATACATTTGAACACTATAAAATTAATGGGTAATATCAAAATATTTTTCTGCACAATATGCAATAGCATAAGAATAAAATCAATCATAACTTTATTATTCACCATAGGAGCATATTTCATCTACCAATTTAACAATTTGTTTAATTTTTTTATACCTGGTTTACAAGGAATGTGAACATGAAAAGTATCATTAACTTTACATAGCCATAATTTTCCTTATGCATTATGATCTTTAGATCCTTTTGTTTTCTTATAAAATTGTAATGGTAATTCTTTAATAATCATAATTCAGAATATTAATTTTTATTTAAATTGTTTTTCTAAACAACAGTTCTTCAAGAACATGATTCAAAATGATAATTATATAGAAATTATATTATTTTACCAAAAATTTAAAAAAATTTGTCATTTCCTCGTAACTTTTTTTAAAATTATATTAGTTTTTTTATAAAAAAAAATTAGGAAGGATGTTGCTAGCGACTATTTATTTCTGTGTTTCAAAAGCACTTTTAAAAAAATATAAAAATTTTATATGTTTTATTTACTTTAAATTAATATGTTTTTCATGTTTTTAAATCATTTTAATATACTAATATTAAAAATATTTTTTAAAAAATAAAAAAATATTAATATATATTTTAATAAAAAAAATTATTTAAAAAAAAATCATAACTATATTACTATCGTATGATGACACCCATTTCTTGTTTTTGTTTCTTTTCCAACTTAATGGCTGCTCCTTTTCTTTTCTTTTTTCTAGTGTATGGGTTTCCTTTTCAAGTTAACTGATTTAATGAAGTTAACCAAGCATATCATACCTTTTTGGTATGATGATTTGTTTTTCTTTTTCGTGAACATGTCTCTTAACTGTTTGGTTCTTGTTTCCACGAAAGAGTAAAGTTTTTCTGTTTGGTTCTTTTAGTTTCTCTAAGTTTAAAGATGTGTGCTTTTTTATTTTATTTTATTTTTTACTTTTGGTCTTACGACTGAGCGCCTTCACAGTAAAGGGTTGAAACTAATATGATGTTCTTGTTGGTTATTAATTTGTGGATTTAAGGTTTGTTATTGCTTCTATTTTGTATCTTAGCATCTTTATGTTTTCTTTAAATTAATTGATCAAATGCAGACTTGTATAAAATCTCCTAGTAAGCTGAGAATGAAGCTTATGGGACCTCACCATCACAGACACAAGGATGGATCAAATGGTAAATCTTCAAGAACATCTCCTTCCAAGCTTGAGGATACTGAATTTTTCAACGACAGCTTTTTAGCTTCCAATAGTGGAGATTTCAGTGAAGAAGTTGGTATAACTCTCTTTCATCTTGTCTTCCATAGAAAAATCTAGTATGGCTATTTTTTTTTTTAACATGGGATGGAATGCACTAAATTGATATATATATATATATTGGAGCTTTTAAAAGCCAGCTTTTACACTTCTGTTGACTGTTGCACTAAACGATTATTTTGTGTATCTTATATGTTTATTTATATTGAGTTATGCTCTCCAGTTGCAGCTCCCAACTTAGAAGTTGCATCTGTTTACTTACTTACTGAAGCAATGTTGGACCTCTGCCAAGCTGGTCAGATATCTGGCCAGCCGATGGAGACACTGCTCAAGGAAATTGTTGACAATGGTTGTGTTAAAATGCAACCATTCTCAAAGTGTGAAAAGGGTAATTCAAGTGCAGTTCACCCTGTCAGAACACTAGAAGATGAGAATGTTGATTAAGCTAGCAATGCTAGCTCATCTAGCTTTGAGTTTCATATTGAGAGATTGGTAAATAATCAATTTTCCAGGCTACTTTCAAGGCCTATGCCTTCTGAGTGGAATGATGCAGAGAAATGGATAATGAAGAGGCAGAACGTGCAACCTAATTATTTCAAGAAGAATAATGTACAGAACCAAACTAATCGGGCTCCAGTAACAAGTATGGAGAGGGTTGCCCCAGAGTTCTCAAATCATGATCCTAAATCATCAAATAGTAGGGTTGCAGAAACTAAGCTTGTAGATTTCTGTCAGCCTGCGTCACACATGGCGTTTAAAAATTCTCTTTCGTTCCTCCTGGATCTCTCATCATTTCTGGTCCAGCATATGGGGTCAACACCCTAGTCGATCAATGTGCTACAGATTGAAAGGAAGTAGATAAAAGGTAGCCACCTTGTACAGAACGTTCAACACGAGATTCAGCAGGTAAATTTGTTCGCATGTTTTGCTTTGTTAATTTTAATTTGAGAATCCCAGGGCTATTTTTTGTTGTTGTGGATTTGGATTCAAATGACGATGGTCTGAAACAAATGAGTGTTGTGTAGAAGGTAATTGAAGGCACTAAGACAGTGTGTGTATCGTTGATTCATAATGGCATCTTGGGGATGGTAGTTTATTTGTTCCGCTTGATGTCCCTCTATCAAGTTGATTAAAGAGGAAGTTTAACTTTCTTTCTTATTTCTGTGCATGACATCTTCCATCTCTAGTCCACCTGAATTCAGTTTTCCAATCCTAGAGGAAGGTTAACTATATGTACAGTAGGGATTTATTAACAGCATTTAGGAGGTCTATTCCTGGTGGGCAGACAATTAGGGGAAGTGGGAATCATCTTTTGAGGGCCCGTCTAGTAAAATGGATATGGTGGGGGTGAGGCAGATAATCAGGTTTGTTAATTATCTGGTTTGTGGCCTTGCACAACTACTGTTGACAAAAAAAATTTAGGTTTTCAACTCTTCTTCATAAATGTAGAAATCACTGTCTATTTTTCTTGTCCTAGAAGAGTGCACTTTCCTCTAAAACTGTACTTCAGAATCCCTGCTACCCAAATATCTTGTTCCTCTTCATCTACTGTTATTTTTCTTGACAATTTGATGATATGATCTTGCAGTTGTTCCTGTCATAAGATCAGTCTGCATGAGTAATATGAGAACTGAAATGACCCCTGTTACAAATCGAGCCTTCTAGGACAGCTACACCTGTTGGTGCAACAACTCCTCTCCGCAGTCCAACTTCCTCAATCCCATCTACTCCCCAATGACGTGCACCAGCACCCACACCCGTGGAGCACAGCACCAATGATGATACACAATGTTCCACTAGAAATGGCAAAATAGAATTGACTGAGCAAGAGTTGAAACTAAGACAAGGAGAGAGATTGTGGCCCTTGGTATCCAGCTTGGCAAGATGAATATTGCTGATTGGGCGAGGAAAGATGACCAGAAAAAAACACCCATCTTCACTTGAAATTACTGAAATGGAGGAGCTTGAGCAGATTGAATTCGTAAAACGTGCTGCTGCATGGGAGATGTTTTCATAAAACGTGAGCTTCAAGGAGACTAGCCATCTTAAACTTGATATAAATTATTTTTCTCACAACAAATTGGGAACTTTTATCAGCTATTCGCCAAAAGATATTTTCAAAACTTTAATTTGACAGAACAACTTTTGAACTATTTCAGATATAAACGTGAAGAAATTAGAATCCAAGCTTGGGAAAGTCAGCAGAAAGTGAAACTAGAGTCAGAGATGCAGAGAATAGAGGTATTTGAATATGATGGTCCACATTTAGAACAAACAACTTCAACCCGGTATTTTTATTTTTATTTTTTTTTCATTTTTGTTCTTGTTTAAAAGAATGAGCAATTTCTTGGACCAAAATTCAGTCACGTCCAAGAAGGATGCTCTGGAGACTGAGAATCTGATGAGGCTGGATATTGATACTTGGTTAAACTTTGTGGTTGCCCTTTAGCCAAAACCACCAGGATAGGGACCAGGCATTATAAATGATCCACAGCCCATCTCGAACTTGTGTTGTCATCAAATTTGATAGAGTTTCGCTTTGAGACATTGTTAATTTAGAGTACTGGAATGTCCTGATCAAATTTTATTGACCATGGTTGACCTGGATCTATTTTCAGGCTCGAGATGAAAAAATGCGAGACCAAGCACATGCGAAGATGGTGAAGAAGATTGCTATGACAAGACAGAGATTGGAAGAAAAACAAGCTGCTGCTGAAGCCAGAAAAAATCTTGCATGTTGCAGATGAATACGTCAAAGTGCTTCGTTTCTGTTGAGTAAGATGAATTTCTTTCAGATATCAAGTATGAACTCAAAGAAACTGGATTCACAGGCCTTTCAGTAAAACAAGTACACGAGAGAACTGCCCTTCATCCGAACCTCATGAGTTCTTATTCAAGTGAAGCTTGTAGGGCAGGCTTGCTCAGCTGAGACAACAAAGAGCTGTGGATCTGAAACCAAAACTATGGCATCCAACTGCTCTCAGCAGCAGGCAAAGCTTCCCATGTCATTACTCCCATTTTGAACCTGAACCCCAGCACCAGTGTCTTTTTTGTTTCCGCATCTTGGGATTCCATGCAACACGCACAATCTCATGTCTCTTCAGTTCACATTCCTAGGAAAGGAGGGAAGGCCTCTTCAGGTTTGCAAAACGAATCTGCTGAGAACAGAAAAATAACAAATGCCAGTCTATTGTTTGCCACATTCTTGGACTTCAGTTACGTTCAGATCTTATCAGTCAGGGAAAATCAATATTTTTCTACGAAGTTTATCCAATCCACTACTTCATCGAATCATAAATTTCATTTCTCTACTCTTCACTCTTTTTTTTTTGTTTAATGTCTTCTTTCTGTTTTTTCAACGCTACCATTGCTATAATAAAACATCATTTTCTTAGTTTTACGTGGAATTTAATTCTACGTAGAATAAATTTCTATAAACAAAACGTGTATAGTAAAAAAATTAAAAAACATATTACAAAAGAATAAGAAAATAAACAAAAAAAGATATAAATATGCCAAGTGTAAAGAATAAAAAAATATAAAAATATAAAAAATATATTAAAATCATGAATTTGACATTTAGGTTATAATTTTTTTTAAAAATAACCAATAATAGGTATGCAGGCTACTGTAATGTGTTTTCTTACATGAAAATTTAAAAATGTTATTTAAAATGCTTATACAATTATTTAACTAAATAAATCAATAATTATTAATATAAATTAAAAAAATTGTTAACAATAATTAAGAAAGAAACTATAAGGACAAGATATTTAGTTAATTATATTTACTAATTTTTTATTTAAATAAATAAAAGATAAATTCATCCTAAAAAAATCATGCTTAAATGATAAATACAAACAAAAATAATTAAATAAACTCATATCATAAAAAAATATAAAAAAAGGTTAAACACATCAAAAAAATATAAGAAATGGATACTTGCTTATTATATATATCTGTCAGTAAACTTGTAGCCAACCCAAGTTAACAAATCAAACACATGACTCAATACATGAAATTGAGATGACCCCGTAAATAACAAAGTAAAAAAAGTAATGTTAAAAACAATATTTAAAAAAATACTTTAAAAAAAGACTAAAGTCAATCTGAGTTAATCTTTCATATTTATGACCCGAGTTATGAGACCATAGTAACTCCATTAAAAGCAAACATGAAAAAAATAAAGAAACAACAATCTTAAAAAACAAATATTGAAGGATAAAATTGAAGAGAAAAAAGCAATTAAAAATACAACACAAAACAAATCAAATAGTAATTAAAATAATTAAGACTAAATTCAATATAAAAACCAATTGAAATTAAACGTTAAGGAAAAATTTAAATAAATTTAAATGTTTAAAAAAAAATTAAAAAAGAAAATAATTAAAATATAACAATTAAAAGAATTGGCACCAAACTTGACATAAAGATTCAATGAAAAGAAATGATTAAGGATGGAATTGAAGAAAAACAAATAAATCAAGAAAATAATTGAAAACTAAAAAAATAGCAATTAAAAGAATGAAGGTTAAATTTAATTAAAAAAAATAATAAAATAAAACAACCAGGGATGAAATCAAAAATAAAAATCAATTAGAAACAATCAACATAAATAAAACAATTATAATTAAGAGAAGAATAATTGATTAAAAGAAAAAATAAATTGAAAGGCTAATATAATTTTTTACATGGTTGGCATGTAATTTGAGAAAAAAAAAAGAAGGAAAAGAAAGAAAAGTTAATTGAAACCAAATTAGACCTTACTATTTATTACACACGTATCACCTAAAAAGAAAGATGATGTTGAAATACATTAAATGATATGCTGAAAGCTTGATTTCAACTACCATTATTAGTTACACGCCATGCTGAAAAGCAATAAAACTGGTAACACGTGCGAGAAATTCATCAACAATCTTTTCTACATGTCTATAATATAAAAAATGCCCCTATCACTGAATAATGATAACCTAAAAAAAAAATCTTAAAAATTACAATCAACTCCTTAAACCAAGACTGAAAAACTTAAAGGGCAAGGATAATGGAGTAATTCAATTGCTCATAATATTATGAAAAAACAAAAATGTTTTGAAGACTAAATAACCATAATAAATCGAATGATACTAAAATCATAATTATTGATATTCTAAATTTGTCCATCTTATTCTTTTCCCTCTTATTTTCTATTTGGTGACTTTCTCTCTTCAAGCTAAAACACTAAAAAAAAAAAAATATGGACCAAAACATAAAAAGCTCAAAAAGAAGGGACCAAATATGAAAAAAAAAACTTGAGGGACCAAATTATACATTCATACACCATTTGAACAACAAAAGGGTGAAAAGATTTAGCTTTTATAAAATTTTAATTTGATCCTTGATCTTCTAATTTGAGTTTGAATAACAACACAAAATTAATTTTTGTAAATTACTCTCTTATTCAACGTTGAAATTCAATGGCAAATCAGTCATGCGGGAACACGAAATTTGATGAAGATAATATGTAAAACTATATCAGCATAATTGGTAAGGACTTAGTTAAAATAAATGAAGTTTAGTGATCAAAATGAAAAGAGGGTGAAAAAAACACTTATTATTTATTGGCGGTGGAAATTTGGCCACCCAGAAACTCTCCTTCCTCTTTTTTATTGAGGCAACTTCTTTCTTTTCTTTAAACATGGAGGGATTAAAATGAGAAAATAAAATAAAATTATGGACTGAAACATAAAAGGCATAAAGAGAAGGGACCAAGCATCAAAAAGTGAAACTTGAGGGATCAAATTGAACATTTCTGCACTCCTTGAACAATAGACAAATGAAAAGGTTTATAAAGTCAATTTTGGAGCAAACATAAGATTAATTTTGTAAAATTGGTCTCTAATTCAATGTTAGATTATTGAACAACAAATCAAACACGTGAGAACATGCAATATGATGCTGAGAACAACAAATCAAACCATGTCAGCATAAGTTTTAAAGATTTAATTAAAAATAAATGAAGTTTAGTGATAAAATAAAAGGAGATAAAAATTTAAGGGAAAGAATCGGAAAAACACTACTCATCCCCAGCATGTGAACAACATTTTTCTAAAATCTTTCTGTTTATTTATTAATGTTAATGCTAATAATATAGCGAAATCAATTAGCTGGTCGTGCAAGCTAGCTGAAAGCTAAAGCTGATAGATGATATTATCAAAGAAAAAAAAAAAAGAGGACAGCCAAGAGGGCAAAGCGCAAGTCCAATCAATGCTTGCTTGAGGCATTGCAAGCCGAGAGGGAAAAAGGACAGCCCTCCTTCCCCTACCCAAAATCTAAAAGTAAAGGGCCTCTAGAGGGTTGTTGGATTGCCAACCCTACATCTTATCGCTACTATTATTGTTGATAGTGCCCTTCCTTGTCACCTTTCCATCCCTCAGGAAAGTCCAATCTGCACTCAATGTCCCACAACATGCATCGCAGAAACTCAAACCTGTAATCCCACCATTATTCAGTGTCCCACAAGAAAAAGAAAAGCCCTTTTTCTCCTCTCCTTTCCCTTTCACTTGTTGAACATCTTCCTCCTATGCAGAAACTGATAAAATTAGGTTAAATGGATGAGTGAGGGAGGGAAGGCACGTGCTTAACTGTTCAAATTTTTGCCGACAATTTACTGTGCTTCTCTCAAGTTTATACAACAGTTTGATAATCTCGAATAACCTAACCCCCACTGCGTACGCTGGATAGTAAACAGTTCCCTGATGAACCTTCACTATCCGGTGGCCATAACACAGAGCTGAGGTGGGCGTGACGGTCTCAGCACCTACAAGATGAGCTGCTAGTCATCTCCCTATCACGACAGAAAAGGCCAAGCTACAACACAGAAAAATCACGTCCATTCTACAGTAAAATTTAGCTCATAATAAGTGGACTGCAAGATAACAAAAGCAGACAACTGAGCTTACAAATATATTTGTCTCCTATTATCAACTGTTGGCATTCAAATTTAAATAGCTTAGAAACGAGGAACATTATCTCCTCGTTACAATAATAGCTTAGAATCTAGGAACATTATCTTCTAATCACATTACAATAATAGCTTACTTTAAAACCCTTAAGCTAGGATTCGGCTTGCCCCTTCCACTTCTGAAACTGAAAGATTTGGAAGGAATGTTAATATTACAGAAGAGACTGTGGTATCTTAACTGCTTAAATTTCTCAGCAGTCCAAAGACCCCACAGAAGTTATAGCATTGCTCAAATTTTGTGAATCCTGCCGGTTTGCATAGTCATCACAGCTGCCATTGGAAAGCCTCTGAATTGGGACACAGTTCAGAAGCTCTAAACCTCGTTTGCCCATTTTCTGTACTTCTTGCGGTGAGAGTATTTTGATGCACCACACGCTGTTTACAAATTCCCTGTGATAAGAATGTAACAAAATTGATCGGACTTTGGCTGATTAGACAGGAAAACGATTGATGGAAATTCCCACATGAAGGGCATATTCAGCATGCGTATGTATTCATTTCATGATGGTCATATACACAGAACGAAATCTGACCTTTCAAAGTTTGTTCACGATGATATGAGACATTTTCTTCTTGTTCTTCTACTCTTTGAAATATTTCACAATTATCATAGCTAAAACTTTTAGACTAGATGCTTTCAATGATTTTAGTTTTGTTTTGTTTTAGGAAAATTAACAAAGAAATTTTGCACGTATCAGACCACTTAGCCAAAAGTAAAAGTGAGAAACTCACGGCCAGGGGCCATCACCAAGAAGAAGAACATCATTCTCCCGGTCGATGAATACAAGCTGCCAGCCTGATCTCAGGGGGTCCTCCAGTTGGCCTTCAAGGCCAAACATGCATGCAAGCTCACTTCGCAACTCGTTGTAGTTGCTGAATTTGGTTATATCCAGTGACCTACCAAAGGACCCTGACTTGTAAACCTGTAAACAATTACACTGTCAACATCCATGATAGCACTTGCTTGAGGCTTCTAGAAGATTGCATTCATAATGGAGAAACAATTGAATCTAAGAACACCCAAAAATATGAAAGCTAAACATACAAGTGTTCCATACATCCCACCACAAAGCATCAGGAAACGAAAATCAACTAAAATCAGAAAATGGGAAGTTACCTTAACAAAGGTTCTAGATGGTGGATTTCCTTGGCCCACAATTTCAGTGGACTGGAGGAAACCTGATTCATCAATGCAACTTGAAGGTGCCATTGCTGGATTAAGAGAGAAATTGGTGCCTGCAATACTCATGTAATT